AAAAAAAAAAAAAAAAAAAAACATACACGAACAATAGCTGGGCCCGCGGACAGGGACTCAGGAAAAAGGGTAACCCTGTAGTCCGCTCGCCTACCGGTAGTCCGGACGCCGTTTCGCCAAATCGGCCTACCGGTAGGCGCAATTTCGTCCTGTCCCATAGAGTGGTGGTTTAACACGGCTCAGACGGCCCATGCAGGCTATCTGAAGGGTCCTCGCATATATCTAGCGCAGACCCCCCCACCAAAATCAAGGCAGGCAGTGAATATAAAATAGAGCACGAGATGGCCGAATATATACTCAAGATTCGAATTCAGGTCTGTGTTTCAGCAGTTATGGGTTGCTCACATAACTAGGGCTTGTTGGTCTCTGCACGTGACTCTTAGGGCTTGGCTGCACTACTCACGAAATGTGCAAAATTAGAATGAATCTTCTGCAGAACGTGGAATAATACGCCACCATATGTTTTGTCTTTTGTGCATTTGGTGAGTAAAGGAATGAATCTTCTGCAGAACGTGGAATAATACGCCACCATATGTTTTGTCTTTTGTGGATTTGGTGAGTAAAAGGCCCTTAGGGCCACTGCACGTATTCCTAAGGAAAGAAAAACGAAAAAAGAAAAGAAAAGCGAGAAAACAGAGAAATGGTGACCCATAACCGACATGCACAGACCTGAATTCGAATCCAGACTATATATTCTCTGCCCACAGTCAGGGAGTACGAGTTAGAAGTGTATCTCTGCTTGACGTCGGGTCCTGGTTAATATGCTGTAGGGATCCTTCCGAAAAGAGGCTGGACACAACGAGGACAATTTTGTTTTTCTGTTTTTTAATGCGCTGCATCACTTGTTCGTGCGTGCATGTGTGTGCGGCACTCCGCGCATGAGATGCGCTGCAAGTATGATTCGAACACATCTCACTCTCTCTCTCTCTCTCTCTCACACACACACACACACACACACACACACACACAAAGGGGGTCCGAAAGGGGGTCCGAAATCCCCTGACAGGTGACTGCGCTGGGGGGGCCCGGTCCCCAACCGGGTGCCGTGCCCGGCCAGGCCACCCGGGACCTCCCCCGGGCCCCTGCCGGTCCCCCGGGCGGCCCGGATCCCCACTCAGAATTAAAATGATTTTTATTTTTTTTTAATTTTTTTTTGGCCCGGCCGGTAAAGTGGTCGCGGGCCACTCTGGTACCCCAGATTGTTTTCGATTTCCAATTCCATATATTATAATAATGCCATTATAATGGTGAATATTTCCGAATATTCTAATGGCAAACAATTTCAAAATTCTTTAAGAAAAAGAAAAAGGCGTCAATTTTTAAAGGTATAATAATAATTAAAATTGAAAAAGGCCTTGGATTGCACACCTACTTGATTTCGGTGTTCATGCCATTCAAGACCCCTTCCCTCTTTATAAGCTCCTGCATGTGCAAAGGCATTGTCTTTTGTCCGTGAAATTCTGCAAAGCTTCGCTTCAGCATGTCTTCAACCTGGATGGAGGGGAGGGGAGAGGAGGGGGGGGAGGGGGGAGGACAAAATAAGGAAGATGCACAGAAGAAGAAGAAGACAAAAAAGACACATCACCTGATCAAGAAGCCTGCAACCTGTTGTTTTGTTCAGAATTGGCTTACCTGTATTATCATTCTGCTGGTGTTTATTTTTAACTTTTGTAATACCATAATCCAATTTCTGAAAAGATAAAATTTCCTTTTTTTTGTTTAATTTGTAGCATTCGTACGTACAACCATACTACAGTGTAATGAATATGAATATGAGAATGTTAAATGTCAGGGCCACGTTTGTCAGATCTCGGCTTATCCATATACCGTGAACAATTGACAGAGTAGTGAGAATAGGGTGAACATCCGAATAGGCCATTGCAGCAGAGAATAGTTAAAATATAACAAACATTTGAATAGGGCATTGCAGCGGTCTTCTAGCCGGTGCATATACAACTGGGATGAGCTCGCACAATGAGGACGAAGAGTGGTCCCGCAGCAACAGAATAAGATTCTGAATTTCAGAATGGTTTGTATGGCAAAAGAGCGAACCCAAAATGTCCGCTGTGCGACGACACGTGATCCCGCGGCCAATTTGTTTTGCATAGGAAGCTAAGCATTTTTTCTTTTTTAAATTACATAAAGTCCAGGTTGTTGTACAGACTGGATGCTAGACTAATGACAGTCCCCTTCAGTAGCCGGCCATTGGTTATCCAACGTTAGAACACTGAAAGATACACGGCCATAATTTTTCTCTTTTTCACATCTGGTCCGTGGTGTGCTGAGGCCCATCATTAGTTTGCTTTCCCTTTTTTCGGGGAAGAGAGGGGGAGGGGGCGGTTAGAAAGGTTGTGCGCGGCCTATAGTTTTCAATAGACGACACTTTCTCAGTCGTGTTTTTCGGCACACTCCCGAGCGGATTTGTGCCCATCTGCAAGATAAGCACAGCCTATAGTTTTCAATAGGCCGCGCTTATCTTGCAGATCGGCACAGCATTCATAGATTCCAAGAAACGAGGGATAGGCCGCAGCCTATAATTTTCAATAGGCCGCGCTTAGCAGCTATTGAAAACTATAGGCTGCTTATCTTGCAGATTGGCACACCATTCATAGATTCCAAGAAACGAGGGATAAGACACAGCCTATAATTTTCAATAGGCCACACTTAGCAGCTATTGAAAACTATAGGCTGCTTATCTTGCAGATGGGCACAATCTGCGCGGGATAGGTCACCACATAGCATTACACCTGAGCGGACGAACTCTAAACAATGCACCAGATTGAAAAAAAGAATCCCACTATCACATGATTTGAATAAGGCGTTTTATTCTGGCTGTGATCTATATCCATTTGGTTGTGACATAAGCGTACTCTCTACCTTCAGGTCTTCTACCCGCAGGAGATTCAAGATCATGTTGTATGTGAGGCGGAACTGACTCTCCAGTTTTGTTGCTTTCCCTGTCAGCAACCGACGCAAGTCACCCTCCTCCATTATATCATCCCAACACAAAATAATCACCGTTCCCACCTGCGTACAAACACACACACACACACAACTATGAGTGACACACACACAACTACGAGTGACACACACACAACTATGAGTAACACACACAACTACGAGTGACAGAGCGAATGAGCGTGCAAGTGCGAGAAACGTAAGCGAGAAAACATGTGTTTGTGTGTGCATATTCGTGTCCAGATCGAGAGAGAGAGAGAGAGAGAGAGATCGAGAGAGAGAGAGAGAGAGAGAGAGAGAGAGAGAGAGAGAGAGAGAGAGAGAGAGAGAGAGAGAGAGAGA